ATCATCATCATCATCATCATCATCATCATCATCATCATCATCATCATCATCATTTTAACACTGCCCTGTTCAGTAGTCGTATTGATTAAAGCCTTAAGATCAGCAGTTTTAGGTTTTACTTGAGACTCCAATTTTTCAAAAGAAAAGTAATGTTTACAAAGATGAATAATTGAATGACTGCATAATCATTAATATGTTTCATTACCCTTTTTCATCTCCGCCTGTGATCATTGTAGGTCAGAGACATCGTTCTGGAGTTAGAAATGTGGACAGTGGAAAACGATCTCATCACGCCAACCTTCAAGAACAAAAGACCTGCGCTGAGGAAGAAGTACAAGGAAACTATCGCAAACCTCTACATTTCGAATGGCCTGTGAAAGGACAACAGTTGAAACATGACTCGATAAACTTACGAAAAACTTAAAAGAAATTTTAGAACCATAGAAAACAGTTTTAGTTTCAGATTAGGAAAGGCTGTTTGGGTGGTTAGCGTATGCTCTAGTGTGGTTTGCTCCTTTTCCCCTTCCAAACATCTATCGCTCATATCTTCACCACTTCTTTTTATGTTAGTTAATCTCTTGTAGCACGTATATGACCTTATTGTGTTGCAAGTGATGCACAAAAAAAGGAAAGGCAGTTCTATGGCAAAGAATCTTTAGTAACTATGTAAAGTTTGCACACAGTCCTTCAATTCGTAGTGGAATAGTGGAACTTTTAAAGAAAGTGGATGGGAAGGCATCATATTCAAATATAAACCAATGTCCCTGGTGAAACAGTTGGGTCATTCTCAGTGGCGCATACATGATTTGAATTATGTCGATTGAGACGTTAAACATAATAATTTTACAATTGCTTAAATAAGTCAGGAATTAAAATTACCAAAAAAGATTTAGGGTTCCTATAATTATTATAAATGTGATACCGTTTGTTAAATGAAATGTCAAAAGTATTTCAAATCCAAGTTCAGGGGAAACAGTTTGACAACTCAGAGTATCATGATCAAGAGTACAATGTCATATTGAAGCCCTCTTAGATCAATAATTTATGAAGTTATAGATTTAATATTTTCATAGATTTTCACCTCCAACAGATGCATGTAAGAAGCGTTTTGACTAGCGTGGCGTACGAGTATGGGTTAATAACACGTTACATGTATAATATTCGACTTATTTCCTTGATTGGGCCAGTGTATTGAGTTACTGACAACGTGGCGCAACACCCCCCCGAGCAGTTTAGAGTACCGAATGACCCAACGGCCTTCGTGTTCCTTGTCGGAAGCAGTTTCAGGGGTCATCTTTCCTGCTCCGGATTTCTCAGGTTCAAAGGGTGCTGATAAGAATATAAAATAGCAAGTGCGAAGTTACTGTGAACCAAAAGCGTCAGTGGTTAACGGATGCTCTGGTGCAGTTTGCTCCCCTTTTCCTATCAAACATAATATATCATCCTTATCTTTCCTATTTTTGTTTGTATGTTACTGTGCAGTAAGACCTCTACTCTTCAGCACTTATAGGACCTATTTGTGTTACTAGTGCTGTAAAACTCTTACTTGAACGAAACGAATCAAAAGAAGGTATGTAAAGTACATTCTACGTGTAAAGGCCTAGCATTAAATTGCGCATTATTGGTAAAGGTATGACCCATGCCTTTGAGCATTACGACGATCACAACTGTGCCTCCTACCACGTGCTAGGATTGACCCCCGATCTGCGCATCAGGTTGAG